GTGTGTGTGTGTGTGTGTGTGTGTGTGTGTGTGTGTGTGTGTGTGTGTGTGTGTGTGTGTCAGTCCAGCCTCACCAATTTTCATTATCAATTAAAAATCAATGAACTGCAACTGAATTAAAAAAATAAATAAATCACACATTAGAAAACAAAAAGGCATAATCCATAAGTCCAAACCAACAAGTAACAAAACAAGTGTGTGAATATAGACATTACCATGCTAAGTGTTCTGGGTTGGCACAGGTTATGATTTAGTGACATCTTGTTGAATTTTAAGTTAATATTTAAATCAAAAGAAGCAAACAGTGGTCAGATTTTCTTTTACAAAGCTGCTCAGAGCTGATGTTAAAGTTTTCTCCTTTGTTAGTTTAACTGCTCTCAAATCTCTTGCAGCAGCTACGTGTTGATCTCAGAAGTCGGGAAAGAGCATGCAGTGAGGCTGGACGTTATGGTTGCACACTATGTTCTGTGATGGTAACACACAGTAAGAACAGAAAGACTTTAAACTAAACCAAACATAGCAGGATGTCAACCCAGAGCCACCCACACAAAACTTTAATCTACTGATATCCGTTCAGTGATCAGCATTACTTTAGAAACACAGGCTTGTAAAGCCCGTAATCTGCTGTTATCGATAAGTTACAGCCTTCTTCTTCTTCTTAGCATTTGCACAGTATCTTGACAATTTAAAACATCCTGTCTCAGAGTGATGCTGAAAGATTTATTTATGCATTTACTGGTTCTAGCCTAGACTCCTGTAATTCATTATCAGGTTTATCTCATAGCTCCCTGAAAAGCCTTCATTTGATCCAAAGCAAGAGTATTGACAGGGACTAAAAAGAGAGACTTTTATCTCTCCCACATTGGCTTCTCTTTATTGGCTCCTTGTTTAATTAAGAATCAAACTTTAAATCCTTTTCCTCTCATACAGGGTCTTAAATAATCAGGTCCCATCTTATCCTAAAGGCCACGTAGTACTATATAAACCAAATTGAGCACATCACTTTCAGACTGATGATTTCATGTGGTTCCTAGGGTATTTAAAAGTAGAATGGGAAGCAGAGCCTTCAGCATTCTGGTCCCTCTTCTGTGGAACTAGCTTCCAGTTTGGATTTAGGAGACAGACACCCTCTCTACTTCTAAGATCAGGCTCAAAACTTGATAAAGCATACAGTCCAGGGTGCCTAGACTAATGGCACATAGTTTCTCGGTGTGCCAGTTTCTCTTATTTCCATTGCATTTTATATGATAGAAGTTTAATTTCATCTAAAGGTTTACTCACTTAATGATAATGACATGAACACCAAGTTTCGGAGCTAGACCAAAGTATATAAAGACACAATCAGACCTGTTGATGGATTCCTTAGTCTCACAAAAACTGGATCACCGTCGTGCTTGTGTGTGTCGATGGCAGAGTCTGCAGACATCAAAACAGACACCACATGATAATTCACCACTATTTCTCCTTCTTATTCTTCTTATAACAAATATGCCAAGCTTTAATTTATTATTATAGCATGTAGTTTAAGACAAGAGCATGGCAGCCTCCATAAAAGCTCACAACACCACCAGCAGTTACATCAGTTATTACACCTATCAACGCTTAATAACTGCTTGCAAAGTGCGCAGCAAGCTAGCTCAGTTAGCTCATACTACACTCTCTAACCCACCTGGAGCGATGACAACCCAGCTGTCATTATCTACGTTTGACGTTCGCTTCTTTTTAGTAGCCATGTCGTATAGTTGTGTTAAGCGCGTAAGTTAACTTTTTTTTTTACTTAAAAACAGTGCTGGCCTACTCAAGAGCATGCCCAGAAAGCTCAGAAAAGGCGCCTCTCTGCGTTCACTTCCGGTTTGTGTCACACGGGACAAAACATTGCATTGTTTATCCGCAGTTGGCTTATTTTCTGTCCCTTTTGGAGGGACAGTCTGGTCGTTAAAAAAATAAATGGATGCCGGGGTGTCAAGAGCTCAAAACAGTGAAACGTAGACTTTTAACTTTAACCTTTTACACACTTGCTGTTGTAGTAGTGGTACGTTCCGCGGTGACGTCAACCAGCGTGTAAATTCGCGGTAGAGCCGCTAGAGGTCGCCCAACAACTTTTATTAGAATTCCTGTAATAAGATGATATTTGTCTTCCACAGTTTACCTACCAGATCCTTACCTGATGGGCTGTTTCTGAAATTCTCCAGTTTTGAGCCTCTGCTCTCAGGTGCAAGATGTTTGGTGGCCGGTTTGTCCTTTGGCACACTGGCACGTAACAGATTGGGCGATCCATCTGTCCTTCAATAAGAGGAAGGCATCTCTCACGCTCTCTCAGGATATGACAGTGTGTGTCCCAGTTGGTTTTCAGTGAGTCACTTGTTTTGTTTTGATTCTCTGTTTTTTTACACTATTTGCGAGCATCCTCAGATGGGGATGTGTAGGATGCTAGTGTGTGTTTTCAACCCTCTTATTAGATAACAATAGCTGCGTCATCGATTTGTTTAACTGTTCAGGGGTCCCTGTGATATGTTTATGTAGGGGTTTTTTTTTAGCTGTTGATTTCCCTGTCTTCTAAAGACACCCACAGCACAGCCCATTAACAGGTTTTTAATTAGCTTGTTTTGGTAATGAGGAAGGGAGGGATTTGTGTGCTGGGTGACTGAGCTTTTAAAACATCACCGCTCAGCGTCCCTGTGGGAGCAGCATGATGTAGGGGAAAACTTGAGTCTCCACATGGTAACCTATGGGTTTATGTTTTTCCCTGCTTGTGCATTTTCGTGCCACCTCTTTGGGCATTCTCTGCTCTTTTGTGTCGTTTTCCTTTTTTGGTCCATTTAAAAATAATGTTGCCTCACAGGCCCATTTGCCCAGATTTGAGCAACACATGCTCTAAAACCCAGTCTCAGCTCCTCCTTGAAATCAGTGAGATTTATGTTGCTGTAGTCTGTGGCAAAGAGAGCGTGGGTGAGATATTGTCTGTGAATTACTTGTTTTATGGGCCTCGGGAGTATCATACACAACAGTCTGTGCAGCTAAACAGAATATTCCATGAAAGCTTTCTTTCATTTTGGGCTGCTTGAGGGAATGTCTGTGTTTCTGACAGCCAGGCAGAACAACAGCGGCCTTTCTGATACTCTGGACCATAGACGACCCCAGAGAGCCGAGTCCTCTGTCACCAGCATGCAGATGAGAACAAAGCGGGGTCTAAATTTAGGCCTCTATATGGCTTTAGACCCAAAGTACGAGACCCCACTATCCTCTCCCAAACCCAGCTCCACAATCCTTATCAATCATGCATCCAACAAAGAGAATTTCAACACACCAAAAGCCGTGTCTGTTCTTTATGTCTCCCCACCTCAAGCTCTACTTCCTCCTCCTCTGTGTAATTCACTTTCAAGCTTGCTATGTCTTTAAAAATAATATGATTCCAATAAACTTTGCAGTAGAGGTAGGAGTTTATTGGAACTAGCAGGCTGTAGATAGTTGGTCACACTCTGCTGAGCACATTGAACAGCCCATGGTCCTAGCTATCGCCGTGGCCTCATTTGGTGGTCCAATGCATGGCGGCTGGTTACAGCTTACATCGACTCACCCTCCAGCTTTCATCTCAGCGCCATGTCGCCATGCGCTGCACATCACAGAGAGCTTTTTTTTCTTTTCTTTTTTTTACTCTTTTCATCATCTGTCTGAAGCAGTTATAGAGAGAAAAGAGCCCATTTTAAGAATGTACATATTCACTACAGTGCATTTTTGTCTGTCATGGCTGCCAAGTGAGGTAAGTTATAAATAGCAAAGGAGCGTCACTTAGGGTGTCACTTTTTCTGTACGTAGGCTGTGCCGTTATTTCATGCAGCTGTAACCACTTTGAATCCCCCACCCCTCGATCCTGCTGATCAACACTCAATTTTCAGCTCAGAGATGTAATGTGCACATTGACACATTTTTAACAGACATGCCATGCACACACATGGAAACAGATGTGGGGAGAATTCCCTCTGCAGCACAAGCCTTTGAGTCATCATCTGGGATTCCCTTCCTCTCACTTCCAAATATGGGTGGGATTGTGAGAGAGCGCGAGGAAGAATGTGGAAGGCAGTGGAACCCCCTCGTGATGTCAGAGCTGTGGAACAGTGAGCCTCACGCTGCCTGGAAATTCACCGGAAGGAATGTCGGGAATGTAAGAATCACTGAAATGCTATTCTCTGCTACTTCTTGGTAAAACCTGACTTGTAGTGGACATGTCTCGTTTTTACTCCCACACAAACACACACACACTCCCATAATGTTGTTGGCCAGTCCACTCTCCGGAGAGACGTTCTTTCCCGTAAAGTCTTATTCCTCTTCCCCCTACTTGTTTCACAAGATGTGACTCCTTATTCCCAGCATCATTTGCTCTGTGTGAGGCCTCTGGATGAAAGTGGGTTTTTCCTTCTCCCTGTGTGAGAACAAAGTGCTTGAACATTGACTGCTGAGTGCTGTGTGATCTGGAAAGACACTCAAATAATAATCACATCCTATGTCATTCATTTGGCATGCAGCTTTTGAACATTTGGTTGTCTCTGAAACTGAGAAAAACTGGGGGGAAAGGCACTAAATTAGAATGAATCAAAGATTGTTTTCATGATTTAAATAAAGAAATTAGGCACCTGGATAAATCACACTCCTACATCTACTGCACCTTCAAATCTGTGAAATTCAGATTTTCAGAAATTCTGATTAAGTGCAGGAACATCCATTGAGAGTGACAAGTGGACCAGCTCTTATCAAAACGTCTGACATTCTGACAAGAACAAATGGGCAGGGGTTTTTTTTTAAGTGATAACAGCACAATCAGCCAAGGAGTAGCTTTTTTGATACTCAAAAGATGTCTTCAAGAAGCCCAACATTTCACCAAGGGATCTGCAACTGAGTAAAGTCAAAGTAAACGAGTCTACAGTCGGCAAGAGCCTGTATCAATTTGACCTGCATTGAAGGAGTGCCGAAACAGGAACAGACCAGGCACTTTGGAAAAGCATGGTCTGGATGGACAAATCAAAGATAGAGATATGTGGCCAGAGTAACAGTAGACATGTGTGGGACAGCTATTCGTGCATGGTGGAAATGTTATGGTTTGGGGTTGCTTTACTGCCTCCGGGACTGGGCATCTTGCCTCACGTTCCTTCTCTGGTTGCTGCAATATTTTACACCTACGCTGTAATTTCTTAAGTTGATGGAGAGCTAAATTAGGTAGTAAGACTTGATGTGACATGATTTTGCTCAGACTGGTTATAGGCAGACTCCAGTGAGACTGAAGTCTGACTTAGCGAGACAAGAATTTACCGTAGAAATTAAAACAAATATAATAATAATAATAATAATAGCAGTTATTTTTGAAATGATATGGCAATGATTTAAAATGGGCTTATCCCCCCCACCCACCCACCCACCACTACCACCCTCACACCACTATCCCCAAACATTTTGCAACTGTAGGAATTTAACATGGACTAGTGACCAAATACTAAATCAAGCAGATGTCAGAGAGCGGTGGGCACAACGCCAACAGAAAAAGTCTTTTCTGTGAAAGAGGAGGGGATGCTAACTTGTAAGAGGTTACTTTTTACTTACTTTTTCTACAGAATAATGTTACAACTGTGGAATTTGTGTAATAACTTGTTATAAAAAGCTTATTTTTCATTGTGGTGTTTATTGCATCGGTGAGGATCAAATATTTGAGCATGTGTTTGGCTAAATAAACTCACTGTCTACTTCATTAGGTATACCTGTTCAATTGCTTGTTAAATATCTAATAAGCAAATGACGTTTAGGCATGTAGACATGTCCAAGACAACCTGTTGAAGTTAAAACTGAGCATCAAGATGAGGAAGAAAGGTGATTGAAGTGACGTTAGAATGGCTTTTGGTGCCAGATGGGTTCTTCTTAGTCTTTCCGAAATGGATGATCTACTGGGATTTTCCAACACAACTATCTCTAGGGTTTAGGGAGAATGGTTTGAAAAGGCAAAAAATAGCAGCAGTTCTCTCTGAGAAAATGTATTATTGATTCCAGAGGTCAGAATTGCTTCAAGCTCATAGGGAGGCAACAGTAAGTCAAATGATCAAACCTTGAAGTAGATGGGCTAGACCAGCAGAAGAACCATATTGAGTTTCACTCTTATCAGCTAAGATCAGGAAACTGAGGCTGTAATTTGCACGGGCTCTGCTTAATTTCTTAATTTGGCACAGACAGTATAACAGCATGGGTCCATCCAGCCTTGTATCAACAGTCCAAGCTGCTGGTGCTGTAATGGTGCATGAATATCTTCTTGGCACACTTTGTGAGCCTCAATACTAACTGAGCATCATTTGAACACAAAGGTCTACCTGAATATTATTGCTGACGTTGTCCATCCCTCTGTGACCACAGCATGCCCGTCATATTGATTGGTGTTTTCAGCAAGATGAGGCTCCATGTCACAAAGATCAAATATTCTCAAACTGGTTTCTTGAACATGACAATGAGTTTCCTGTACTCAAATGGCCTCCACATTCAGTTCAAAGAGCACCTTAGGGATGTACTAGAACAGGACATTCACATCATGGATGTGCCACTGATAAATCTGCACCAACTGTGGGATGCTATCATGTCTGTATGAACTAAAATCTCAGGAATGTTTCCAACATCTCATTCAATCCATGCCATAAAGAATTAAGGTAGTTCTGAGGCCAATCACAGTATCCAGAGTGAGTATTTCAACAAAATTCACACTTTGATTGTAATCTGATGAATCAGGCCTCATCACAAATAATTCAAACAATGTAAACCAGGGCTACTAAAGTCTCTGGCCCCTAGGCATTTGAGAAAAGTTAGCCAAACAGCTTTGAATCATTAGCCCACAAAGTTGAATTTTTTTGAATCACTAGCTCTCTTCAACCAAAAAGTTCCAGGAAACATTGAATCACGAAAGCTAGTTTCAAGAACTGAGGTGGGAGCAGTAAAGATTGTGCAATAAAATCAGGCCGTCATGAAAAATGAACTAGATAAGTGATTACTCTATTTACTTTT